TTTGAGGTTGGGAAGAGAGGTGAAAGAATATATAGGTTAATATGAAATCTTTGAGGAACTCAAACAGGAATTTTTATTAAAACATTACTTTTGTACACCTCATATATCTAGACATGAAAAGTAATGGGGAGAAAGAATTTTTTATTCATTGGTAAAATCATTAGTTGCATAGTTGGCTTCACTTTCCGCTTCCTTACCCAAAACCCAAGCTGCCAAGGTATTCCAGAGAGGAAAATATTTTCTCTGATGGACAGTATCTTCCATTCAGTTGGGGCACATTGGGGGTGCAGAGTGAAAGCCAATCACCTTCAATATCTACCTTGTTTGTTTGTTGTTTTCTCTTTCTCCAGTGACTATAACTCAGAACAATAAATTATGGTGTTTAGTATTACATTAGATACGTATTTGTTGTTTAACAACTAAACGCAGAAACCTACTCAGTAGTTGACCTATGACAGCTGTAAGCCAGGATTAATATATTCTAGTTTGACTGTGAATTTACAACTTGATCTAGCTATAAAGTACAAAAGTAGCTTACAAAATTCAGACTGTGCCTGTGAAATAGGTTCTGCTGCTTTTAATGTGTAAACAGACATCAAAGTGCAATATGCCAACAGGACAGGAAACTTCTGCCCGTGGCTACTGTGCTGCTGTCTGCATAATGAGTCTGAGGATGCTGTCCTGTCAGTCTAGCTGTGACCACCCACAGGCATTTTTCCTTCGAAAAGGTTACTGGCTGAGAGGTTTTCTTCTCTCTTTATGTATTTTTATGTATGTATCTTTATGTATGTAATTTTGCGACAATATTATCCAGGTCAGCAGAACTTTGTAATGTATATCTGACTTGGGAGTCTTAACATGTGATTCAGGTTTGTTATTATTGGAAAGATATCCATTAACAATTAAATATGTTTTTATTGCATCTAAAAATAAGATTATTATAAACAGCTGACTGCTACTGTAACTTTATAGCTGGATCCAGAAAACCTAAATCACTTGAAAACCCATATGGGACAAGTAAAAGGGTGTGCAATTGCATTGGCATGGGTTTTAACTGTTTGTGTAGTTTTAACTGTTTATGTAGTTTTTTGTTCATACAATTGCTTGTACCACTTCACCTATCTGTTTAGTCCTGCTGCTACTGGATTTGGTTAAAAACTGAAATATGGTTAAAGATGAACAGCAGTATACTGTTCATCTGATAGTTTAAAATTTATTACCCTGGACAATTTTATTGTGACTGCTAAGTTGTCAGTATTATACTTCCCTATGATTAGATAACTACTGCACTTCTCTGGTTTCTTCAAATTGTGTAAAAGTTTTAGATATCAATGTGAAAAAAGATTGCTGTTAAAGCTTTTTTATTCCTTGTAGGAAAGTCTCTAAAGTACTTGGTATATTCTAAATTCAATGTTTTTCAGTGCACTACATCTTTACATCCTCGATAAAACAACTTTAGAAAGAAGCAAAATTACTCCTATGTTCTTTTGGAGTCAAAAGTGAGGACAAAGCCTAGGAGTCCTCAAAGGATGCAGTCAGTTCTTGCTTTAATGGATTCAGCTTTCAGAAGCTGTGATTGTCCATTACACTGTAATACTGTTGAGAGTAGAATGAAAGCCACTGGGTCTAATTTCAGGCTTAATAGTTCAATTACATCTCCTTTCTTGTGGAAAAACAGCATTTCAAAAGACAATTGTTCATACCACTGGGAGAACCTTAAAGCTGCCATTAGACCTATATGTCAGATCCCCTGGGAATGCTTTGAAGAACATGAAGGGTGGCTTTAGCCTCTTCAAAGGAGACCTGGCTCTGAGCAATATCTGGCTGTTCTTCCTGTATGTAATAGGGTGTCTGTGGGGCAGGATCTGTTGCTCTAGTTTATATGTAGTCAGTTTATTGTCTTCTGTCTTCAGTCTGGAGTATCTGTCTATCTGGCCACAAGTACCCCAGAAGTCCTTCCTATTGCTTATTGTCATCAGACCCAACTGTTCCTTACTACACTATCTTAAGATTTTCTTGCACTCCTTAAGTCTTAGAATAAAGTCAGTAGCGGTGTGTGACCTATATGGGCCAAGACTTCTCCTTGCTATTTTTGAGAACTTTCCAGCCCTACTGTTACTTGTATGGAGGGGATTCAAGTGGCAGGTTCCTAAAACAGTCCTGCCTTTACCGGTATGAACTTTCTTGAGGTGAGACCTAAGGCGATGTATAAATTATGAGTTAGTTATTTTCAGCTTTTGCATTTGGGCATACTTGAAAAAGTATTTTAAAATTACATCTTTCAAGATACTAATACTTGCCCCATCTACCTTCTTCTTCCTCTTCCTTGTCTCGTATTTTACAATCCAAAGACTTTTTGGTGGAAGTTTTCCGTAGTTTAGGAAATAAAGCACAGCCAGCATGGGGCATTCTGTATCCTAGCATATGAAAACAAAGACATCGCTGACATTAGAACCTAACAGATTTGCCAAGCAAAAAAACACAACCATGTTTGCTGTTCAGTTGTATAGTGTCCACTCACTTTTTTTGTTTGTTTTAAGCCAAAATCTTTAATTATTTCAGTATGGGCAAAAGTTAAGCTGTTTGGAAAGCAGCTACATATTTCCCACAGGACCAAAGCTATATAAGCGTGTTTTGTGACTGTCTTTGTTCCTGCAGCTGGGATGCATATATTGCATTCAGACTTATTGCAGGCATAAAGTAACTTAGAAGACTGGACTGTAGATCTTAGATAATTAATTGTGTGCTAATAGCCAATAGATGTGTGCAAATAGGGACAAGAAGAGGGTGTCGGCTGTGTTTGGAGAATTATCTGTGGTTCACTATACCAAGGGTTCATATAACTTGTAGGGCCATCTCCCCCAGAATGTTAGCTGCCTGGCTGTGAACAGCAGCTGTGTGCCACTCAGTCCAGCAGCTTCTTCCCCTCAGATCTGGGCCCTCTTAACACCTCCAGACCTCATATCCTGGCAGGTCTTGGCATAATTGTATGTACTGGGAAACTGAGCTCATGAGGTCAGGTCAAGGTGGATTAATGCAGTGAGATAATGGCCCATGACAATGGGAGTGGATAGTTCACTGGGTCTCTTGGAGATCACTTGCTCTGTGAGGAAACAACAATGGAAAAAAATGCAAGTGTGATTATGGAATGGGAAGTGACTGGAAAGCTGGTGCTTAGTGTAACATTTAGGCAATGGAAGAAGTTAAGGCATCTTTTCAAAAATAATAGATAACAGATTGTGTTTTTCAGGTGATTTGGATGTCCCTTGGGACTTCCAGGAAGTTCCTCTGCAGACTATGGCAGAAATGAATGATCATACTTTGATTGGTTTCTTCTCAGATGAGCTCTTGTGATCCATTTCTTTTTGGAATAGAGTTTGTGTGTTTTACTTGCCTGCTCTCAACCTTCCTGTTTTAGGGCTGCTTCTCATTTGTACACCACTTTCTCATGTTAAATGAGTGCATTGGTGTGAACTCTGTCCCTTTTCTATCCAGAGCCTGTAGGCTATGGAAAGACACTGCATCCAGTTTTACACACACTTTGAGTTTACCAAGAGGAAAAAAAAAAAAAAATCTAGTTCTTTACCTTCACTCACTTTCAATGCTTCTCCTTTTATCTGCTGGAACAGCCTGTGTGTTGAAAGTGCATTTTTAATTAAATTGTGTGCATCTTGTATATGTACAATACTTTCACTTTGAGGGCATTTTTATTATACTAAAAGGGTGGTGATAGGTAGTAAGTCTCAAGAATAATTAAAACTTGTGTTAACTTGTGTATGTTTTCAGTAGTGATTAAACTTTGTGTTGAGTCTCTGCTGGGTCCAAGATCAGATCTTAATCAAGTAGAAAGGAAGGAAGGCGTGATGGGGGAAGGAAGAGTTGGTTGTTACCTTTAAAAGTTCTTGCCAGTTTAAGATAAACATCACCTGTCATGTTTATTTCTAAAAAAAATTTTTTTTAAAGTGTATTGCTTCCAGTATTTTAAATATTTATCTGCAGATAGTTTTTATGTTCAACACTTTTTGAGGGAGAAATGCATACAGTGGGTAATATTACAAATCAACATTTGGAAATATCTTCACCTTTTCTGTCTATTGATGTAGCCTCAGAGTTTTGTTCAGTGTTTACACTGAAGGAAAAAAAAGCAGAGTAATGTGCTAAGGCTTTAACTGCATCATGATGCTACAGGGCAAACATTTAAATAACTAGAGATTTCCCAGAGGGATTATGGTATATCTGTTTGGTTTTTTCCTTTTACTTGGGGAGGTAGAAATGCATTTCAGAATCAGCAAGATGCATGGTTTTGATCTGAAATTCGCACTTTCTGCACTAAATAAGAATTAGTGCTTTGCATTTACCACGGCATACCAGATTCCAGCGTGGGAGAAGAAAAGGGCCTGATTCAAGGACAATGATTGGAATCCTGTTGCATGAAATGCTTTGAAAAAAATGTTAATTTCTCTGTCTTTGAAAAGTACAGTTTTACCATTTGCTTTTAGATGGTTTGACTTCGGTAGAGACAGCAGGTGAATTAACATGAATCACATGAGCTTTGCCAAGGATTCTATGAGATTTAAACCCAAGTCAAGCTGAGGCATGAAACAGTGTTTTGAAATTGATAGTAGTTCTGAAGATGTCCCTAGTATTAAACCAAATTCAAGATCTGCACTGGAGTTTAAATGCTACTTCAGCCTGCAAGAGTGTTATTTGCTCTCTGGAGGACATCCATTTGGTTTAAACTTGTAAGTCAAGTAAAAGTTTATCTAGTTGAAACTCCCTATTGAAATGTCAGAGCACCTGCATTAATTTTTCTTGTGTGAAGAAAGTCTTTAGTATTTAATAAAATTATTTTTAGTGAATATACTAGGCCAGCCTTCACAAAAAACTCAAGAGATTATTTTGAAAGTATGAGCTAAGGGGGGAAACCTGAGAGGGACAGACACATTTCTTTTTTTAGGCTGCCAGGATTTTACAAGATCATTGTTACTTTTTCCTTACAGATTGTGTCAGATGCTGCTGGACAGGGGGTTGCCATCACTGGGAACAATACTTTTAACAACTGGAATTGGCCTAACGCTGTGATCTTTGCTGCTACTGTGATCACAACAATCGGTAAATATTTACTATGTCAACCTTCCTAGCTGTAGTTTTCTGTGGGCTCTACTGTTTTTGTACTCTCCCATTTCTGTGTCAAGGTAGCCACTGAATAAAGTCCCCATGGCTGGAGCTGCCTAAAGTATGTGTTCACCTGCAGATTCATGGAGGAAAAAAACAAGGGTTTTGGCACCCTCTGCACATGTGTACAGAAGAGAAAAGTGTGCCTTTCCAATAAGTAATGGATTAAAGGTGCTGTTGGTGTTGCCTGGTGTCATTCCAGTTCCATTGATTTATGCACTTAATTTCCAAATTGTAAAATTCCAAAACAAAAGCGTAACAAAGCATTCCATTAAACTAATACCTAAAGCAAGTGCATATGAGGTTTTTGGACTGCTGTCGTGTTACACACATGCGTTCTCTTGAGCTACTACTAAATTATCAGTGTTCCTGGCTTGCAGACCTAGCTATATTTTTTATCCACCTCTTAAAAAAATGTGAAGCAGAACAACTGTTGCTTTTTAAATATCACTATGATTTGTCCTTGTAAGATCCTCTGCACTGGAAGACTTCTTTCTCCTGTGATATGTAGGTTTTCAGAACTCAACATCATTTGCCTTCTGCATTTACAGAAAAATCTTTGCTATATGGTGTTGTTACATACTTGTTGCATAATTAAAAAAAAAAAGGGGGGGGAATGCAAAATAAACAGAGAGGACTGAATGTAGAAGTCTTACTGTTAAACCATATGCAGTACTGTGGTTTTCTTTATTATTTAAAATTCACAATACCCAGCTTATAATATAACTTATGAAAAATTTTGAAGTCAATAACACACCTAAATAAGAAGACTCTGTCAGAAGTTAAAAAATAGGCTGCTGATTTTAGAGCCTGAATCTGTCATGCCCTGTTGGGTTCTATGACCAGCAAAGAACTAAATTCATTTGAAGTATCTTGCACTTACTTGCCTTGCACTTAACTCAAAAGCTCTTACCCTGTAAAGATACCAGGTCACAAGTTAAATGTGTATAGTGGATCTTTCACCTGGGATCTAGCTTCAGGATGAATTTTGAGTTTCATTCTGTAAAATTAAATCAGTCAAGTTTAAACAGTGCTGCTTAAGATTGGGACATCATATTAGAAGTTTTGAGATGAGCTTTATTTTCTATTTATCCCATCTTCTCCAGAAAAAGATGCACCAAATCTAGGGAACACTTAAAGTGCAGTAATGGAATATGTGTTTGTTAGCGTAGAATTGGAACACATCCAGTTTCAGAAGATGAGCAGCTGGAGTAAACTAAATCCCTTTTAGATGGTGAAGTAAGGAGTGCCCAGCACAGTAGGAGCCCACACAGTGTTTTGTGCACAGGTAGAATTGCCTTGAATTCTCTTCAGCCAGAATAGACTGAGGACATACTTACCTCTTTCAGGTTACGGAAATGTTTCCCCAAAGACACACGCTGGGCGTCTCTTCTGCATATTTTATGGGCTTTTTGGAGTCCCTCTCTGCTTGACGTGGATCAGTGCTCTAGGGAAATTCTTTGGAGGACGTGCCAAGAGGCTGGGCCAGTTTCTGACGAAAAGAGGAGTAAGCCTGGTAAGCCCTTACTTGTTTACCCTTGAACTGTGTAGTTTTGATGCATGAATTAAGCTTACATTTCATAACTTGACTGCTTATCTCGTAGTAAATGGACACTTGCACAAATTTTCCCAAATGGTATTGCACTGAAAGAACTAAAAGAGGGATGGGGTCTGATGTGTTAGTTCTGCAAGAAGTTTAGCAAAATGAGATCTCCTAAAAACCTTTGGTACTGCTTCTTATGTTAAAGAACTTTGGAACAAATGTACATAAGGCTCCATTTCACAGATGTTTCATTCAAGCTCCTCAGGCACAGGAGTGAAAATGTGCTGTCCTGCTTGGCTCCCACCTGCCTGCATGCTTGCACAAATATTTCCTGCTGTGCAGTGAACCTACTGCAGAACAATATTTTGTTCTGAGTTTACTGGCTTTTGCTTTTTCGTTTGTGCCATTTTGTTAGCTTTTTGGTGATGATTTGTTTGGGTTTCTTTCTCCTCCATTCCCCAATGCAAGTGAATTCTCAGTTCTAACTGCACAGAAATGGGAGGCAATGCAGGGTCATAGTGCCTGGAGGGCACTGGGACTGCTTTAGCTCCTGGTTTCAGAATCAGAGCAAGAAATTTCTCGGGTTTGCACCTGAGAAGAGTTTAGAAAATAATAGTGAAATATATGTGTATGTGGAGGTTTGTACAGAGGTTGGCATGAGTGGCAAAGTGAAGGAAAAAGAAATGGGAGAGAAACAACATAAAATGCTTCTGATCTTCTGTATTCAAATGAATGAAAGGAAAATTAGAGGTACTGATGGCTTTTTAGACTAGAGTGCTATGTCCATATCCCATTCCAATTTATAAAATACTAGGGACTCCTTAAACTCTTCCAAGGCTGTGAAAGAAAACTATGAGCAAATAATCCTTTTTGAGCAAGTAGTTGTAAGAATAGGGAGTCCTGCCTAAAGTGAAAAAAAAGTGTGTTTACTGCAGTCACATTTAGGGACTTTTAATTATGGCAGCTAAATTGTTAGCACAAAACTGAAATATCTGGTACTGTCAGATGATTCTTGGTGCCATGGGTGGGGAAAAAAAAAATTTGAGATCTTTTCCTGACTTTCTTTTTTATTCACAGAGGAAAGCCCAAATTACATGCACGGCTATATTCATTGTTTGGGGTGTCTTGGTCCATCTGGTTATTCCTCCCTTTGTCTTCATGATGACTGAAGGATGGAATTACATTGAAGGCCTCTATTTCTCATTCATCACTATCACCACCATAGGATTTGGAGATTTTGTTGCTGGTCAGTAATTTTATTTTATGTATTATTTCATTACATGTATAGTGTGGCAATTCTACTTCTAAACTCTTAATTTGAAAAGATGTTTTCTAAGCTTTACCAACACATTTTGCAGGATAGAATATTCCATTAAGGCTGGGTACTGATCCAGTGGACTAGATATGGCTCTTCAGTGTTGGTGTAGACACCTAAGGCCTTTTTTGGGTTAATTTTGCAGCCAGAGCCCATAAGTCCCTCTGGTACCCCAGGGTCTGTATTTCGGGCAAGGAGCTACCCTGCCCACCATGTTAGTTGTGCACCTTCGAATGGGATCCAATATACTACGCAGGATGTGCAGGCATTGGGCAATGTTTTCTACACCTGCCTAGAACTAGTCAGTGGGCAATGCTGAGCATATTCGTCTCTCCTCCTAAATCTCTTCTTCCTATAAAAGCCAGTGCTTCGTTCAGCACTTTGGTCCTCATAAGGGAACTCTGAATCTTTTTCTCAATGAAGGTACCTATATATGCATACTTCAGTGGCAGGAAGAAGATTTGTAATTTTTAAACAGGAAAATGTTCACTTTTATATCTTACAAGGAGAGGATAAATATACTTCATTTTTATTTTGTTAGTCCAGTGGTCAGAATACATGTGGCCAAGAAGGGGAAAATGTGGGATCAACTTTTTCTTTCATTTTCCCACTCGTTAGCTCTCTGACCAGTGTTCAAATAACAAGGCTCTTTTAGTGAGGAAGAGAGTAATTCTCAGAGTCATAACTTCAAAGGTTTATCAGCTGTGAGTCTTCTTACAGTAATGTTTTTGTTTTTAATTTCCTGTAGGTGTAAATCCAGATGCAAACTACCATGCGCTTTACAGATATTTTGTGGAGTTATGGATCTATCTGGGACTAGCTTGGCTCTCACTCTTTGTTAACTGGAAGGTCAGTATGTTTGTGGAAGTCCACAAAGCAATCAAGAAACGCAGGAAAAAAAGAAAAGAGTCATTTGAGAACCACCCTCGGCCTAAAAAACCCCTTCAAATGGGTACCTCAAAGGATGTCAACATTTTCAGCTTTCTTTCAAAGAAGGAAGAGACCTACAATGACCTTATAAAGCAAATTGGGAAGAAGGCCCTGAAGACAAGCAATGACAAAATGATTATCGTGGAAAATGCCAAACAGATGAATGCCAGTATAGATGTTCAGGTGACTTACACAAAAACAGAGTCCTTTGAGTATGATGAGGCTTCCCTGGACATTCAAAATGGTCACGTACTGAGACCCCTCCATGACAAACATAGTGGAGACAGCCCTCTAGAAGGAAGCATGTTTGTGAACCAGCTGGACAGGATTAGTGAAGAAGAAGGTGAAGTGTGGGATTCCAGAGACTATCGGCCCTTAATATTTGAGAATGCCAATATAACATTTGTAAATGAAGATGATGATGAAGAAGAAGATATCTCAGATGATGAGGAAACGTCAAAATCCTCTATGGATGATAATCTTGCAGAGGAATCTGAAACTGCAAAAAAATTGGTAAAATTCCCATCCTCTGATGAATCTACCTTTACCAATAATGAGCTAGAACTTTCTGTGCCTTATGAACAACTGATGAATGAATATAATACAGTAAGCAATGTGAAGGCTGCCACGTGAAGCATGCTGGACAATGGTTTTCTGAAAGTGGTCAGTGCATATTGAACATAGAGCAAGGAGAAAAGTAGGTTTGCAGCTTCTCCTGTCTCTTTGAAAACAAAAGCAAGTCCCAGAGTAAGAAACTCCAGTCTCCTTTTCCATCCTAAGTTGGCTTCTGAGCCCATCAGCTTTGCTTTTCTGAAAGACTTGTAAAATAACAGTTGAATTTGGAGTCCCACTCCTTCTTTAGATTTTGTGGTTCTTGAACAAAATAGAAAAGACTAGTTAATACACTGGATCTGTTCTGAGTTCATGCATTTCATTGAGGAAATAGTTTGGGAGTGTAACTATACTGTTGCAAGACTGTTTTGGGCATCAAATATGTTCGGTTACTCCATTACCTTTCACCTCTGAAAACCTGGATTTGAATCCGGCATTTCTCACAAATGAAATCAAGGGGGTTGCTCATTGTTAAGTTGTTACTGCCAAAAATATGGCGCTGTACTTAAAGAGAAACTTTTAATGGAATGCCAGGATACACAGATCTGAGCTGAGCTGTGCTGGTAGACTGAGAAGGAAGCTCTGAAACATCTCTGTATAATGTCAGTGCTTGTCAAATTATAGTGAATTCTAATTTCATAAATAAAATATTAAAATTAAGAGTTCCAAAGGAATGGATTGAGAAGGAGCCCTCTAACAAAGAAGAATCTGGGATGAAGCTTGCCAGTTGGGCTGCTAAGCTGCACATCAGCCCCAGAACTGTCAAAGAGTAAAGTGACTGTAAGACTTATTGATCAAAGCATGTATGGGCAGAAACAGGATGCAATGAACTTTTTTAGTGTTGAAAGTGTCCTTCCACTGTCCATTTCCTAAAGGAAATACTTGAATGAACCTTATACAGTATCTGTGTACAGGTGAAGTTTTATTGACACTGTTCTTCTTAGGAAAAAATCACCTTGGGAAGCACAGATATTCTCCAAATGCCCTAATGCCTGTCAGAAGGGACCTGTAGCACTGCTGCTGATCTGGGCAGTGTGTTAGTCAGTATTGTTGTTTGATATTCCTCCCTGCCTTGGTACTTCAGACATGACTTGAATGGGAGATGGTTTTTGAAACAGTAGATTACACTTCATATATTGTTTTGTTTTTAGAGTTTGACCTATGTGCATATACAATGGTTATTCTATCTCACTTGATAGAAGGTTGGGGAATATCAAACCTTGGGCAAACTGAGATGTGATCAAGTGACTTCAGGACATAAGGCACTTTTTTTAGAAGGAACTTTGGCTCTAAACTTCTAAAAGTATTATCTTTTGACTTGGAGATGGGCTACTCACTAGAAGGAAGCATGTCTGTTCATAGCATGTATGCCAAAATTGTTTTGGCTACAAAGAAATTTTACCATGGTTTTATTTTTCTTTCTTTTTCTATGTCTGTGCATTAACCCTGACAACTCTTTCAAATGAGGCTCTTGATTGTATGCTGGCAAGAGGTGTTGACTTTAGTTTTTACCCAGTACACTTGGAACAGAAAATAGCCAAGACCTTTAAACCTTAACATGTCAGGTTCTGCTGATCTGTTTGGTTTTAGAGCATTTAGAGCATTTTAGAGCATTCTGGTATGTCCGAAAGTTTCCAAAGTTCAGAGACTAGTTAAAAGTTGTCCCAGTCTCATTTTCAGTGTAATGCTGGCAGACTCACTAGCTCTGTAAGAAGACCTTTTGGAACCTTGCAATGCTAATCTTAAATTACTGGCTATTTCTGATAACTACAAGTATTGTCTGCAGCTTAAATTGCTGGCCTGTCCCATTGGAAGAAGGAGGATATATGGGAAGCTAGCACTCTGGTTGGATAGCCTTTAGATGGGAAGTTTTGAAGTTATCTACTGTGAAACAAGGGACTGTCTTTACTATTCTGTTACTTTCCTAGAATTTTCCACATATATGACATTTTTTCAAAGAGAATGTGAACACAATGGCCAAATAATGGCCAACTCGTCCACCTGTCATACTGAACAGCTGTGGAGTCAACATCATTTGATTTGTATTTAATCTGCAATTTATGGTAGTATTGTTGAGGAGAGATTCTCATTTGTAATCAAATTTTATTATATTTACGCTATTTGGAGCAGGGGTGGCTGGATGAATTTGACTTCTATCTGACAGGAAAGAGGGAGAGGCCATATCAAGATGATTCTTATTTACTTCTAGTAAGATAGCTTAATCCCCACTCTTCTAAAATTACTCCAAGCCCTTCAAGTTTTTGTATCTGAAGGGCTGTGGTTGACAGCTGTACTTTATAACTGTAAGAAATGTTCGGCAGGATTATGTGCCTATGCAGAGGATGCTTGTGTAGTCAGTTTAGCCTTCTCTCTCTTTTTTTTAAAAATATTTTTTGTTTTAAAAAGTCTACACTTAAAAAAAAAAAAGAGAAAGCACTCCATATAGTTTTTGTTGTCCTCCAACTTGTCTTCCATTATTGATGCAAAGATCAAAGTTTCAGTAACAGTTAGAGAGCTACAGGATAACGAGGAGAGAAAAGACTTTGAGCAAGTGCGTGAAATGGAAAAGCATAGTCCAATCTTCATTTAAAAAACAAGAAAAAAAAAAGAAAGAAAAAAGTCTCTTTAATACTGAAATAATACAACCCAGACACTTGGCTGGGCTGCTTTGATTGGGAGGGGATGTTGCACACTGGAACCCAGACTCTGTTCTGCATAGCGAAGTGCACTTGTATGCCAGAGCTGAGAATAGATGGGATCTGTTTCATATTATCATGCTAGATGTGGCTCTCTGGCCTTTCCCAGTGTAGTCAGCACAGACTATAAGTCTGCATAATAAGTATCATGGGATTTAAAGTAATAGTTTAAATTTATTAAAACAAAGTACAATATTCCCAGTTTTTCGGGGAAACATGATCACACCTCACAAAACTGTTCTCAAGATATCCCACCATGTGCCTTAATGTAATCTTAACACTGGGAAAAAATTCCTCTTTACACAGGGGCCAAGAGAATTGGTCTCGTTAAGCCCTACATGTTTCAGAGTTTTGGAGGGCTTTAGTTGGTGCATAGCTTTGATAATGGCTCTCTCCAAAAAGCTGAAGCATTCCCAGGGTTTTTAAAATTATGGTGCCATCTCAGAAGTGCCGAAGAGCTAAACCGGATAGCTTTTTGCCTGCCTGTCTTCCACGTTTTGAGAAAAGAAGCTGCCTGGGGGATCTAAACTAATATCTTTCTGCCTTCAGATTTACATGTAATGACTTAGAGGGGTGTCCAGGCTGGATTTTGTTCTATTCAGCTCCAAAAGTGTCTCTTGAGTGAATTCCCCAGTGCTACCTGGTTATGTCTTGTGGTTATTTCAATTCTTTGGTCAATCTGGAAACATATTCTTTCGATACCTGTTGATTTCATTTAGCTAACTAGTAATGTTAACAGTTTTCTTAAAGCTGTGGAGTTGGTTTTATAGGTGAGGCAGATCTCTTCCTGGAAAGATAGAAAAGGGGGATATTTAAGGAAGGAAAAAAGCTTAAGAGCATGTATAAGGAAGGGATGGAACAGCAGTGAAAACTCTTCTTTCTAGCTGTTGCCTACAAGTAGATTTTATTTCCAGTCACATCATGTGAAGGAAGGATTCACTTACTAATTTTGCCAAGATGAGCCAGTACTTTCAATTTTACTCTTTTTTTCAAAAATTAAATCCTGAAATGTGACCATGGAAGTGTGTTCCTACAAAAGGCCTTTTAAGTGCTTTAAGACTATGTGACCCTATACTTCATGACATCGTTGTGATGCTTCTTGGGTTTGTATTGCATTATTGAAGCCTGTTTTTACCAGAAGGGCATCACTTGCAGATACTTGTCTCACATCAGGCAGCCTGACACATCTGATACACTGGTACGAAGTCACTGAGGAAATACAAAATCAGAGTGTTTAATTTTTCTGAACTAATGATTAGTGAATCTGTTGCTGGCAATGGATATCACCAAGCATGCAGAATTAAAACCAGACTGATAACAAATCCATGGTGACACAGCTGTATGTGCAAAGATTTTATTTTTCCTCCAGTTGATCTGGAAGAGTGTGTAGAGACAGACGAGAGCAAAAGGCATTATGTCTGTAGAGTAAACAAAAGACTTTGTAGACATGTAATTTTTGTGCCTCGTGGGATTTATTCCATTTGTGATGGATTTAACTTTTAAAAATTAGCTTGTCTTTCATATGGCTTTTGACATTTGTGCAGTTCTGACTCTTTATCACTCCATAATATGCCTGTCTGTCTGTTCTTTGTTGCTGATTGTCACTGGAATCACACTGTATGTAAATATTTGCTAAGTCTTTGTAAAATGTAATTTATTTTAATATTTTGCAATAAAAATTTTACAATTTATCCTCTCTGTCATGAGAAGAATGGTAATCAATATTTCTTTTTACAACTACCTACACTTGTAATGCACCTTACACATGAGGCTGGTCCTGGCCCAAAGAGCTGGAAGGTAAAGAGACAAAAAAGCAAGTTGTTTTGTGCAAGCAGATGCCTTAACTTGTACGGGGTATTGATGACTTCAGTTCAATGGCATCTGGTCTTCAATTAGATACAGCATAGCAAAGTATTATTCAATGTGGATTTTGGACAGCTGTTGAAAAATAAACTGAAGTTTATTTTAAGGGCTGTGTTTTATCAGTGGGCTGCTTTTAAAGATGCACAGAGATGGGAAGTGTTGGAATTAATCAGTACTGTGATAAAATAAAATGGACATTTATGACTGGTATCTGAATCTCCTGCCAGAGCTATTAAAATATCTGAGTAGCTGTTTACGAATTTTCGCAATATTTCTAGTAGCAGTGCTCACCATTTTTCAGGCTAGAACTAGTTGCAGTCTTTCAGCTCCAGCAGTTTCCTTGGCAACACGCTGGAAAAGAGCTAACTACCTGCCTTAATGGGCAGCAAAGTGTGACTTGGTGATACCCATGGTAGAGATGGAGCCGTCTGAAGAAATTGAGACAAACTCAGCCTGAGGAGGAAGAGACTGAACCTTGGCTTTTAGACAACTGAGTGGAATTGCTGAGGCACAAGCTAGGAAAGTGGGGAGATGCATGGGCATGGCAGCGAAGGGTGGATGCTGCGGCATTTGAGTGAGGGTAGCCAATCTGCTTTTCCTCCAGCCACACAACAGGAGCAGTGAAGGAAGAAGTGCCTGACTGGTGACTGATGGCAAAAAGAGCCAAAGAGGGAGGTGGCAGCTCCTCATGGAG